AAATGTTGGGTATGACATGCTTTCTTTAAAGTCATCCCGATGGTTTTAAGTTGTCAATGGCATGATCTGAGTTTCTTGCAGTTTTTACATAGCTCATGCATCGTCTTACTAAATATAATTTACAGTTGCTTGAACCTCAAGAACTTAAACCAATTAAATACTTTGAGATGGTAACTTCAGAATGACTTTTATTCCACTTAATCTTACCTTGGTGGGCATGTATCTTGATGGCTAAAGAATCTTGAATATTTCTCATGTTAAATGAATCAAATGCTCTTTTCATTGGTAAAAACCATCTATTTCTAAATAATGCAAATATCATATATTCTAAATTTGAATAGATTGAATTTAAATTATTTTATTTAATTGTTTGGTTGTGAATTTAGACAGATTTAATAAGCTAGTTGATTGGCTTCATGAGCACTTGATGTAGCTTTTAAAGTGAACTAGGATTCATGGATTGAAGACTCTTTCTTTCGGTGTAAGACAAAAAATTCAAGATTAGAAATGATGGATTAAAGCAAATAAAGTTTTTTAGGAATTTAACTCACAAAAAATCAAGTCGATTGAAATTTTACACCACAGTTGAAAGTTGATTTGTAATTAATTTGATCAATATTAGGAATACTCGCTTTGATAAAAATGAATATTTAAGGAAAAATTAAGGAAAAGTAGAAGAAAATATTGGCCTGGTAGATGTAGGTAGATATATTCCCTATAGAATTGCTTTTAGTACTTGGAACGCATTCAAACGAATTCATCGTCCAATAAGCACCCAAAATCGAGGAGGGTCCATTAATAGTTTTATTGAACCAGATATTATTATTTTTACATGGCTCAACTTATCTATTTATTGTCATCAATATCCAAAATTGGATCGCCCCTTTAAACTTAATTGGGCAGTATAATGCACGAAACCAATTGAACCCCCGAGATCACGTCAAAGCTCAATAATAGGCGATATAATGAAAATAATGGAAATTGCGTGCTATCTGAAGTCAAAACAGGGGTGATGAAAGACCCATACAAATGCTACAAAGCGAGATGCAAGTTTTGACAAAATCGCAGCCACAGGGATGACACATGCATTATAGGAAGAAACACAGGCTTTCTAAAAGTCGTAACTACTGTGTGCTGAGAGAACCACACATGTAAAGAAGTGATACTTCATTCTTGTAAGTGTTACATGAACCATAAAGTAGTCAAAGTAGATTCTAAAATCAAAAGAACGGCACCGCTGCACAAGGTACCATAAACTATGATGGATATATGCAAACCTAGCTTCTAAGCCAATCCAAATCTTAGAGGCAAATCAAATGTAATTTCATCATATTAGAGAGTACAACCTGATCTCATAGGCTACATCATCACATGGATGTCCTAATTAGTTAAAATTGAACATTGCAAGCTAAAATAAAAATTGATACTATTTAATTTTGATTGGATCATTTATTTTCTTGATGCTTTAAATGAATGCAAACTTATTGATCTTTGTTAACTCTGCTTGATAAATTGAACTTCGACAAATTTATCATTTGGTTTTCATTAAGCAGATGAGTACATAAATTTTGTGCTTCTTACAAAGTAATTCATTAGTCATCACAAATAAACTAATTTTTTGTACTCGACTGAGTAGTGGTAGAAATCTAAGTTGCTTAGGAGTTAAAGAGAAGGTGTTTGATCTGAGCTACTAGGGAATGAGATATGAAGAACTAATAATTATTATTACGTGCTAAAAACTTTGCTTCACTAGAGTTGGTGTTTTATACCTTAGCTTTTGACAAAAATCCAACATGTCCTTAAAAAGTTGCAGGAGATTAGAAAATTTTTATGTGAATAACCTGGAAAAGAAAGAATTATGGGCCTAGCCCAATTGAATAGTCCACTATATATTAGGCAGTACAAGAATCATTTTTTTTTCTCATAAGACGATGTGATTATTTTAGAATAAATATGTGATTTCCCTTTTAGGGATTGCATAAATTTGATGTCCACACAAAAAAAAAAAGTTAAAACCAAACAACAAGGTTAAATAATGACATAAGTTTGGCGATAGCGGATATTGGTGGTGGTCGTCGGCGATGATAGCTGGTAAATGTAAGAGATCTCTTTAGTTTTCTCAGCTCTTGAAGCTCCCCCCTTTGTAGAGAGTTGAGCCTTATTTATAGGCTTTTTGAGATGGACATTTTGATCCCCTTAATCATAGATTGTTTATTAAACATTCAAATACCTTAATGATATCAGAATTGAGTGATCACGAGCTCGTTAGATTCGTCTCATCGAGCGTCCCGACTTGACAATAAGAAGGCTATAATTGGTGGTCATTTGGTTCTTCAATCAATGTTCAAAAGTTTTCAAATGTTATTTAAGTGTTTGATTTGAGGTCATTTGGAGTTGGATCAAATAATTTCTAGTATCATTAGGTTCGTCTCGTTTAGACATTAAGTTTGACTAGAAGTTTATTGAAATCAGAGTTTGAATGATCCTGAATTTAATTTAAAAAATTTCTAATTCATGCATATCAATTATAAAGAGAAACAAACAAACAAACAACCACAACTAAAATTTAAAGTGGTTTGGCAAAGGTTCCTACGTCCATTATGAGATTAGTCTTCCCATGTTATTCAATTAATGAGAGTGAATTAGCTTCCACGATGATTCCAGAGAAATAGTGAAAAAGGGGATGTGGGAAGAGATGAACTTCTAGTATTTAGGAAGTTGTGGGATGGGGGGAGGGGACCCTTATTGAATTGAGAGTTGTAGTGAGTAGAGTGCATGTGTCAGGTGTGGAGGATAGTGAAGTATTATATTATAAAGCCCAATTTTTGCCTTATGAAGAAGATGTATTATGCACACTGAGTTGTAGGTCTACCTTTGTGGTAAAATTGCTATAATGGTTGGAAGGGGAGATATCTCCAAGCGGTTTTGGGGCAGAGCCTTTGAAATGTATCCATTATTTACTCTTGTTTCATTAAGAGCCTTTTAGAAATTTTATTACATTTTTTTAGCTCTAAAAAAAAATCTCTTTGTAAAGAAGCAGGACATCTTATATTGTATAAGAGGAATTTGGATTGTTATTCTCCACAATCGATTCAGACAATGATGAAAACATGGCATTGTCATCAATTGGGTGAACTTGTATAAAATTCTTGTGTTGATCTTTTTTATTTTTTGTTATTCTTTTTTGCTCTTTGTGTTTGCGTAGTTTTTCTTATTTCCCAAGTTTTGGTATTAGACATTTTGGTTATGATTGAGAGTGATGACCGGAGAAAAAGGATCAATACTTAGGATCACCAAGTTTGATGGATTGGTGATGCAAAGGGTATAATGGTGTTGTGGGGGTGGAATTTGATAGTAGCTATTTTTATTTGGTGAGAGGGAATGTTGTAGTTTGCATTGGAATTGATTTGAGTGTTAATGCACTTTTGGGAGGTTGAGCATCAAATGATGATTTAGAGCCATGTTGGAATTTGATTTAGTTTTGGAAAGCTGATATTATGTGGAGTGTAAAGGGTGTTAAGTTGAGATTTAGGAAGAGTATGGATACTTTTTGGAAAGCTTAGGGATGTTAGGAATAAGACTAAAGAGTTATTTTGGGTGTTTATATGGAGATTTTGTCTGAAGGTAAAGGAAAACTGACTGTTTGGTATTTAAAGATTTTGAGTGGTGTTAATATTTCATGGATAACTTGCATTGAGAGTGTAATGAGTTAAGAGTGCAACTCTGAATCAAAAGGACGAGTGAAAGAGAAATATATCAAAGAAAATAAATAAAATGCTAACATCAAGAAGGATACAAAAACCTCTCACCAAAGAGGGTGATCAAAAACACGAAGCTAGGATCAATGTAGTTGTCACCAAACAAACTTGCAAGGAAGGAGATACTTCTCCAAATTTGATTTAAGCTCATCAAAGTTTGTTTCGTTGCAGCATTTTTTATCTTTATAAGCATTACAAGTCACGGAGAAATTAAAATATCATAAGAATACCCTGGGGTGGCTGTTCACTTAATGAAAATGCTTTGAAACGAGTTTCAAGCGTCAATATCTCTCCATTGAAACTCAAGGGCTGTTGACTTATTGATTTTTTTTAGCTCATTGGACGATGTAACGTCATTTTGTAGTTTTCATAAAACCATATTAGAGACTGATCAAGCTTGCATGAATTAGACTTTTGATGAAGTGACAAAATGACTTAAGTTTTTCTTGGACTAAAGCCTAACTCACATGATACTTAATATGTTTGATGTTTTTACATTGCCACTTCAATATAACTCAGTAAAATTATATTATTAAAAGTATTTCTTGAAAGATCAAAAACATTATATGGTTTTGCTTCTTCTGTAAGTACGAAACCTCAGAACTCAAAGGGCTTCCATGTTGCAGATGATGCTGACAGTTCAAATGGGACATGGAATGAGTTGACTGAGTTTTATGCTTGCGAGTATTATGATGTTTCTTCAGGGGATGGCGTCATGGTTCCACTGACAGTTGTTTATTCACGGAGGCACAAGCAAGAGGGTAGTCCTGCATTACTTCATGGACACGGGGCTTATGGCGAGTTATTAGACAAGCGGTGGAGAAGTGAGTTAAAGAGTCTTCTTGATCGGGGTTGGGTGGTTGCATACGCTGATGTTAGGTAATTTGAGGTTTATTAGCTTTGTAAAATATGTTCACATTCGACATTAGAGCATTTTTATGATTATAAAACCATTATGTCACTTGTTACCCTTTTGAACTCAATTTTGATTTTGTTTCTTGACATCTTACTTTTTGTAACATTGCAACTTACAATCTATCATTGTTAGTGAGCAACATATGAATATTTTTCATTTGTAAATTTAGCCGTTCTGATGTTTTTTAAGGATTGGGTGAACAACTTGCTTTCATTTGTTTTGTAACTATTTTAACTTATCAGCTGTTGTGAAGTTGTGATGTAATGCGGCAACTCCACAATATTCTCTTGTATTATTTTTTTTTTTTCAAGTTACAAGTGCTTTTTCTTTACTTATTTGAACTGAATTTTGTTCAGTTAATTTCAAACATGCTATTTAAGGAGATTATTTACCGAACCTCTGTGAAAATAAATCTCATTTACGTTAGGCATTAAATAATGAAGGATATCTTAAATGAGCCAACATGTTCAACACGTTTTATTTTTTCTGCTGTTTTGGAAAGGAAAAAGAACAGAACATTGCTTCCTTCTGAAAGGATGATTTTCCTACTATGTGATTTTATCTTCTCATTTTTCCTTATTTTTAACACTAAGCTCTTTTTCCTTTCAAATATTTTTTTTGAAAGTCCTTCCAATTGTTTTGTTGTCTAATAGACTTTTATGGTTTAGAGGTGGCGGTGGATGCGGTAGAAATTGGCATCATGATGGAATGCGTCTGAAGAAGCAAAATTCTATCATGGATTACATTTCATGTTCAGAGTTTCTTATAGAAAAGGGTATTGCTCATAAAGATAAGCTTGCTGGGTGGGGATATAGTGCTGGTGGTCTACTAGTTGCTTCAGCAATCAATGCTCGTCCAGACTTATTTCGGGCGGCAATTTTGAAGGTACAACCATCTTTGACTCAATGTTATTACATGCAATAAGCTTTCTTATCAATAGATCAAATTCCACTTGGGTAGTTGCGTACTTGTACTATAATGCCATAGTACAACAAGGCATACACCTTTTGGACTATTTCATAGTGACATGTGCAATGGCAAAATGGCACGAACTGTTTTTTTTTATTGATTTTCTTAATTTTTTTAAGGGAATCAAGCATGTGTTTTTTTTATTTTTGTGAGGTATGATAGTACTTTGATTGGAGTCTCAATTTTTTTAATAACACAAATGATGCTAATAGTGGTTAACAGGGAAAATGAATGTTAAGTTGGATAAAAAGTATAAATTAGTATTTGATGAGGAAAAGTTGATACGGAGTAATGTTGTGAGAGCTAGTGGCGTCTTTGAGGAATTACAACATTCAAGATTGTTCTAAATGAAAATGAAATGAGTTTTCAGATAGGTCTAACACATTTATAGTTGCATAAGGGAATGAAGAGGGTGATGAGAAAGGATATAATTTGGGAGATAATGATGCAGGAGTTAAGACTATTTTTATTTATGCGGATGGTGATGATTCTCAATAGGACTAGTTTAATTTTTTATGAATAAGAAACTAATTAGCAAACAGTTTCTTATATTTTGAGCACAACTTTCTAAGTTTAATGTTTTGTTCTCATATCATTCATTATTATAACCATGATTATTTTTTACTGTAAATCTAATTACATTATTTGTCATGATACTTTACTTTTTAGTATGATTATCTTTCATTAATCTTCTTGTTTATTAAAGCGATCTTTTATTTTATGTATATGACATTACTTTTTTTTTCTACTTTCAAGATATTTTCTTTTATATTATGGAATTATTGATAAATTATTCATATTTTTAATTCTTTGAGCAATTTTAAAATAATATGTGCCATGCTATGTGTTATGGCTCCAAGAAATAGTGTATTATTTGCTTTTGAGAATGTTGACTTAAAAAGGGGGGGGGGGGGGGGGATTGCAAACCTAGATTTGTTCTCTGATATA